CCGGTTTTGTTGCCCGGAAATTGCCGAAACGTGTGGCCGGCGTGCAAAATCCTTGAAATGTGCTAAAATAAATTATTAATAATTTCTATGAGATCCTTGGCAGACGGCAGACTTTGGGAATTTACACGGTTTGTCGTCGAATAAATGAATTATTTATTTTAATGTCAGATCTTCCTGCTACCCAGGTCCGCCCTCGGGTCAATTGCTAGATTCGTTTGCCGGTTTGTATCTCTATCTTTTAGGTCCAGACTCAACTCATTTCTTGGCCAGAGGACGTGCTGTGATGATGCTTTTTGCCATTTTCATTTTCCTGTTTTTGCAGTGATAATCTATTTTGTCATTCGCCCCCAATTTGTTTGTCGACTGTGGCCTAACAAATTGTAATCAAAGTTTATGATTGACGGATGTTTAGTATACATTATTCAAGCTCAGATTCATCTGGGTAAAAAGTCTTCAAGAAATAAAAAATTACTCGTTATTTTACCCTAGGAGCTGGTGATGAAAATAAGAATTTTCTGAACTAAGACTGAAAATAAGGAACTGGGTAAAGTCTTATGTAGAATAAGGTTTTCCAGTTTTTTTAACATCTATATTTGTTTATAAGTACAACTAGTTTAGCCTCAGATTAATATCATTAAAACCAGTAAGCAGACTTGTATAATTTTTTTTTATTTTGTTAACTGGTGTAAATAAACAGACTTCCAAATTTGAACGCCAAACTGAAAGACTTCTTTTAGCAGCAATAAATAAAAATAAATGAAATAAGAAAAAGAAAGAGAAAAATGTATTTCAATGGCCTTACGGATTTCACTTTTCAATTAATAGCAGAAAAAATTATGAATCAAAGAAAATGCCGGGATGTGAGTCAAGGTTTTGCATTTCCATTTCATTCAATTTAGCGGCAGAAGCAGGAATAAAGAGAGAAAGTACGGACCCGGACTGATTCAGTGGCACACCGGCAACTTGAACTGTCTGTCATTCATCACAGAGCAAATATGAAATGAAATTTAATGATATTATATCAATATTCTCGCATTGTCTGTTTGCTTATATCCTGTTGCTGTTGCCAACGTCAATGACATGCAATTATTTTCACATTAAAACTCATTTCCGTTACTGTAACTGAAGCGAGACATTAACGGTTGGATGGAGTATCTATGGCCCTATATAACATAATAACATCAGGGCTGGTTGTTCAGTAGTGAATAAGGAATAAAAATGAAAGGCTAATGGTTATAGCAAAGGTGTTTAAGAGTTAAGGCAATCCAAGTCAAAAATATGTTATGAATAAAAAAGAGTAAAGCTCTATTAAAGTATCTAAACAACAAGTTTAATCTTAGCTTAAAATCAGGTAAATTGCAATTTAAATTTAATTTTTTTAAAGTGATATATCCCAAAATTGCAAAATTAAATGGATTTGTCCAGAAAATGGTTGAAATGGCATTTCTGAACCTGAAAGCCGGCTAATGGCCAACAACATTGGCCACGTTGATTCGGCCATCAATACTCCCATCGCTCAGTTGTTGGCCTTGGCCATTCGCCACTCTTATGTAAATTCGAGATGCAGAACCTTCGCTCCTCGCTCCTCTGTTGGCTCAGCATAATTAAGGGGATATATGTGGGCGGTCGTCTGGATGATAGCCCCATCATCCGCCATATCATCCCGTCAGGCTGTGGCCCACCTACACGGTCATATTAAAATTATTATTGTATGCAGTGGGCAAATGAGAAAAGTTGGCTCAAAATTACATTTAAAGCCGGATGAACGGACGGTACATGAGTTGCTATAATATTTACTATCAATTTAAAAAATCGCGCAAATATTTTTATCAGTATTGTGGCGGAAAGTTATTGTCCTTTTGGCCATCCACTTAAGGTCATTAATTCATTCGGCGACAGCTGCGAAAAGTGAAAATCGTCTTTCGGCCATGGGGAAATGAAATTAACATACTGCGCAGCAAGTAGGAAAATTTAATTAAAGTGGCGTAAAAAATGAGTGTTAAAAGCGAGCTTCTGGGCCTCTTATTTGCATCGAGTGAAATATAAATGTTGCCATTTCATTTCAATCTTATTGACCATGCACTTGGCAGAAAAAAAGTAGGTAACTGAAAATGAACAAATTAATGGTAAAAAAAATAAGTTAACTATGGGGAAATATGCAGCCAAATAAACTATAAATTAAAAGCATTATTTAGTTTTCAAAATAAAGATTTCTTGCAAAATTTATGCAAATTTTCTTCTTGTGTGTGAAAGATCATTAGACTCGGACAACATTTTCATTTAGTCGCTCTTTTTTATTACCATTGTTTGTATAGTTTATTGTTTTGTCTAATGTGGCATAGTCTAGACACTTTTAATATATCTAAAAACTCGTCCAGGGGTTTTCGGTAGGCCACTTCAGGCTGCGTGTTAAAGTTGAAAATACTTTGCAACGCTCATACGCAGTGTTGGCCACATAAATCTTTCGCCCTCATGCGATGCCACTATGTGTGTGTATGCGTGTGTGTTTGTCTGTGCACATTAAAAGTTTGCCTAAGAGCTTATGGCACCATTTGTTAAAAGCGATTTTTAATGCTGCTGTGAGATCCACACACACACACAAAGAGCCAGTTGGGGGTGTGCAGAAGGGTGTTTCAGGCCCAATGCCATGGCCAACATCTAATGGCTTTCCACGCATCCTACTCTAAACTTTTTTAATGAGAGTGGAGTAAACCTATGCTCTATATAGAGAAAAAAATCTGGCATTATTAGTTTACTACGAGAATTAAAAAGAATATTAAAAAGTCTGTAAATTAATCCGAAGAAACACCCATATTTGGAAATTTGTGCGAAACAACAATACAATACAAAATATTCATTATAAATATTAATTATAATATTACCAAATTGGAGTGTAGTAACACTTCGCTGGAAGCACATTTTCGAATCGCCTTTCGGCATCGCTTAGTGTCATTTAAATTGTTGCTCCGCCTGGCAGCTCATGGCTTTTCCTAGGGGGAGAAGCTCAGGGGTTTCTGTAATTAGTTGAAGCGCATTAAGCCGCAATGATTTTGTCACGGCCTGACATTGAGGGGCCTTAAGGCTTAAGGTTCTGTTACGGCAGAACCAGCAGTATCATGCGAATCGGCTTACAAGTTTCCATGGCAAATGGAAAACGTTTTATCAATTTTACACAAAATTGAGTAGAACATTTGTTGTTGCTCCGCTTTTATTGAATATTTTAATTGGAAAGTTTCGCATCAAAATGGCAAACATATCTGAAATGAAATCAAACGCTGCATATGTTTACTTTTAAATAATGCACAAATTCTTCACGTAATGCTGGGAAATGCAAGATTTATTTGTACATTTTATTTGATGGACTGGATGATGGTGCATTCAAATTGTTTTAATTACCATTCATCACTGGCAAAAACGATTCTAGGAATTTAAATACTCCCCTTGAATGTGGCCACAGTGTCGTGCCATTTGCTTATCGGCCATCATTTAACATGGAAATCGTTTGGGCAAGCCGAAAAAGATTTATCAATGGGCGATTGTAAACAATGGAATGGCGCTTGGCATTCCGACCGAAATATGCATAAAGCATTTATCAGAATCATTTATAATAGCTTATTAAATTTATGTTAATGCCATTAATCAATGGAAATGTTTGCTTCACTTGCGCCGGAGGCCAGATAGCCATTTAAATCAGCTGTTGCATCGAGATCGCCACCGGACTTGCCGGCCGTATTCCCGCTGGCCAACGGCATCGCATTAATGTCAATCAGCCGTGTAATTAACGCGGCCAAAACGGACAGAAGCCGGCAGTAACAACAATGCCCCTGCCGAGTGACAAACGGGAGCTATAAATATGGCTAATCGGTGTGGCAATGATTTGATTAGACTGGACTGGAGCCATTGCAATGCACTTAGAGCAGGATTATTAGAAAATATTTCTCAAGTACCATAGGGTTTGTCATCTTCAATTAAGTCAAATGCTTCTCAACAAAATGTAATATAAAATATTTATTTGATTTATTCTGTGCAATACCTTGAGTGCTTTCCAATGAAAACATATAGGTTTATCTAAAATTAGTTGTATTAAATGCATCTTTTTCTTTGCTAATATTCTTCTCGAGATTCCTAAGCTCCTTAATTTCAAGTGTAGGTCCTCGGCTGCAATGCGAGTGCATCGAATTTCTGACAGGCCGAATGTCAGCGACATTATCATCGCCAAGTAATTAGCATTTAGCAGGTTGAGGCAGTGACAAGCGATGGGTTTGAGCTGGAAATTGGAATTGGAGTCCGATTCGGGTTCGGTCGGGGCTTGGGTGCCATAATATGTATATTAGCCGGGGGCTAAAGCATTTGTAGCTATTTGGCAGCTGACGGGCCTTTCAGTGTCTGCTTCGGCTTATGTGCCTGGGTCTGTTTCAGTTTCAGTTTCGGCGGCGCCAAGCTATTTGCTCCGCGCTGGCAATTAATTAAATGCTGTTAATGAATCTGAATTCCGCCTTTGTGGCGAACACAACGAGAATGTGTTTGGAGCAGGAAGGGAAAGGTGGGTCAGGCGTTTGATAACTAAATTTCGCGGATTTGGCCTAACATTTTCCTGTTTGCGAATTAACTGTCAAATTGATAATTCTACCCTGTCAAAGTCCATATACACAGACATAAACATTAAAAATTAATAATTAAATATAAGAAGCCCTTGCTGAAATTAATTTTTCCCTTAAAATAAGACTTTAAATGAAGGTGTTCTTGTTGTCCATCAATTCGTTAAACCCACCGTAAGGGAATAAAATTAAGAAACATATCTTAAAATGATTTTTGAATATACACCAATGGTCATAAAAATGTTGATTTAAAACAGATGGCCTGTTCTGCCAGAAGATGATCAGCCATGTTTACGCTGCTTTGATCCAAAATGCTCACTTTTGTGCATTCATAAATTATTTAAGATCCATCAACATTGTTTCTATAAAACTTCGTATATTTTGTGCTTTGAGTTCCATGCTTCAACAGTCGCTTATACATAATACCGAATATTTTCCACTCATTATCTCAGTGTTGCTCGCTTCTTATTTATTTTAAGTTTTGACTTGGCCTTTGAATGCTTATCTAATCTAATTAAATGGATTCCTACAGCCGAACGTGGCGCGGAAAGGGTGTGATCGTGGGCAGAGGACCGCGTCTCGGACGGGGAGTGCTCGTGAGGAAGTAGTTGGAGAAGCGGGACTGAAAGCCGCTGCCCAGGACGGTGGCCTGAGCGGGCAGTGCCGCCGGTGGGGCGGGGTGCACCGAGTATGCCGGCTGAATGACCCTGACCGCTGGCCGGGGAGCAGCAGGCGACGGGACCCTTATCACAGGCTTGGGAGCAGCGGGCTGACTGACCCTGATCACGGGCTTGAGGGTAGTTGGCGGGGTGATGTTGACCACTGGACTCGGTTCGGTCTTTATCACCTGATGGGTCTGCTCCTCCGCTGGCTTGGACTCGTCCTCGAAGGGTGGCAGCAGATCCAAGGACAGTAGCTGAATGTCCTGCTTTGCGGCACTGGCCTTCACCTTGTCATCCTTGGCCGGCTGGGCGGGCTTTGTGTAATAGGGTTTCTTGGTTGGCTTCGTGGCCAGCGTTGTTGTGGTCGTCGATCTTGTCGTCCTCAAGGTGGTGGTAGTTGTCGATGTTGTGCTCGTGGTACTTGACTCATCCACCAATGGTGGCAGTAAGTCATTAAATGGCAAATCAATATTTTGCGGCTTTATTTCCGAGACGTCAGCTCCGCAGAGAGCGAACAGCAATGCAGATGCAATAAGGAGCTGCAAGAAGAAATCGTGATCAATTTCGATTTATAATAACTTTAAATAACATATAAGTTGGGAAATTCCACAGACCCGTAGCAACTTAAATAGTTTTCAAACAATTCATATGTTTTTTTAACACAGTTTTGGAAATGAATTTATCTGAGTTGGAAAATGCTTAAGGCGGATCGCACTGCTGACCAATTTAGTGACAGGTCTCCAAAGTTATGACCCCATTGTTCGATTTGGTCACAGCCATTCCAAATGTGTTTCAACTCGAAAATTTGGTTCAGTTTTGGCTCTGGAAGTGTGGGCGCTTGAAAGTTATTCCCATCCGATTTGAATCGGCCTTCGGAATGGCGAAAAACCTTGCATTGTTTGGAACTGGATTGCTTAATGGCCGCTTCATCCCACATTTTGTTCTAACGGACAAGTTCCTTTCGCTCGTGGGAAAGGTCATTAGACCTTCTTTGGCCCTGATTAACATAGCGACTATAATGAAACTAATCGAGCTTGAAATGTATGCAAATCCATTGGCTGAATGGAAAGAAATTATCCGTCATCTTATGGTCATGGTTCGCAGATTCACACCTCCGATAATAAAGCAATTTATTTCACCAAATAAATATATGTAAAGCAGCTCAAGTCACAATACCCGTCTGGTTTCTCCTTTTTTTTTTGTCCCGATTGTTTAATCAAATATTTAATTGGCGATATATTTAAAATGTTTGTTTGCTCATCTAACGAATGATTCTATTATGCTAATTCCCGCTCAGAACCAATTGCATAATGTAATTTATGCAACAAACTGGAACTTAGCTAATGATGCTTACGCAAATTGCTAATTAGAACAAATTTGCTGCATTCCTATAGACTCTATTTCAGGAAAGACCAGCTCCGAAGCGCAATTTCCATATCGAAATGGAGCAATCAAAAAAACTCCCGATACACTTACGTATCGCAGTGACATTTTGGCGAGGGATCCTTTTATATTTTGGGTTTTCTATGAGATGATACTGGTGTCCCGAACCGAACACTTTGAAATTTGCGAACGAACTAAAAGCGTCGCTGAGCATGCGCAGCATTTTTATAGTCAATCGATGAAAAGCCTTAGCGAGACGCCGGACAACTTACACGAACTTGCTGCACAGTGTAAAGTTTAATAACCGGATTAGGACAGGGGGTTTTGTTTTTTAGTTTATTTTGATCTGGCTTCGGACGAGAGTGTTTTTTTTGTTTGCTCTCGGTCTCTCTGGCCAATTAAGTGGCTTCTTCGACATTTATTTTTAGTTTCGGGCGACTGCAGCAGCGGCAGAAAACAGCTGATTGCCCGTTGAACTCTTGGAGTTCACGGTCGCATTTGGTGGCTACAAGATCTCGTATCTCATGTGGCGTATCTGGTTCCCGGGAGCTGTCGCACACACCTGCTAGTAGTTAATTTTATTTTTGGTAAAAAGCGAATGTAATGCTTAGCATTTTGTCAGCGGTTTGCATAAATTTTGATAAAGGACAAACCTGATTTTTTGGCACTTCCTCATGCTGGTAGGATGGTGTTGTATGCTGTGTGGTGGGTGCCAGTGGCAGTGCCCGTGCTCGGAGATTGATTTTATTTCCATTTCTTAATTGATTTTAATGGCATTCGCACAGCGCCAAGCAACCAGTTTGTGTCTATCCGGTGGAACGCCCTCATTTGCATTTAAATCGTGGGGGGATTCTCAAATGGAGTGAAAGCAAATTAGTGCCAATTACAAGTGGTCGATAGCAGATAGCGGATAGCAGATCGGCATCTCCGTCATCGCGGCTCAGAATTTGATAGGGCCCTCCGCTGGCTGTCGGCTTTATTACCTCAATTTCGTCTGATACATCTCCAATTTATGCAAATTATGTGAGCGTTGATTCCTCACGCCGAGCCGAGTCGAGTCGAGCCGAGCCGAGACTTTTTGTGTGCGTGCGAAGGCTCATAAATTATGAGCCGCATTAGTGGCAACCGGATTTCTCGGGCTTTGTTCTGTTCGCTTTGGCTCGGATTGGTTTAACTTGGATCCCCGAGATTAATTGCTCAGCAGCCCATTGTTAAGATTCGTGTGGTATTTTTCGATAAGCGCTGGCAAATAGTTTTGACTCTGCACTCTGTTGTCCGAGGCATTTGGCCTAAGTGGATACATTTTAAAGAGATGTTTATCGCTTCATTAAACTGCCGCGGTGCGCTCGAGCGAGCGTTATTAAGATCGCAGAGTATTTAAACAGCAATCAATCAGATTTAGGTTAATTTGGGATAATTATTTAACAAGACTGCCAGCAATGTAACATAATCAATCAAGCATTTAAGGAGTTCGTTCCTGCTGGTTTAAATGGTTTTTACATAACTAAATTAAACTTATCTCAATCTTAAGACTTTTTTATAATACAATAAAATGGTAGAATAGAATAGTGTTCTAAGAATTAGGTGATTTTATTTAGTAAAAGTTGGTAAAATTGTTTTTGCAAGTCAATGGTTTCAATGGCCCAATTTTCTAGATCTTTATCTATGATCTTATCATGATTATTCTTACATTATTATCCTTAAATATTTTAATAAATAAATAACCAATAATTTGAATTTAAATACCTTTAAATATTAAACAGTAACCTGCAGGGAATTCCGTTTCAAAACCAATTACAGTTCCACACATTTATAAAATAACCTTTAAGGATACTGAAAGCAATCAAACCTGACTGTAAAAAAGAATCTTTATGCCGTACACTGCTCGTCCGTTTACCTTAATTATTGTATTGGCATTTTATTGAAAATTCACGTGCCTCAAATTCATCAAAAGCGAATTATTTATACCGCTCCCTCCCCCTGACATCGGCTGGGATTGTTCAAGTGTTTTCACTTAACCGCTCCATGGCCGTGCGTATCCCTTCCGAATTCCTTTATTTGCGGCGCTGTTATTGTTTCGATTGTGCTCCATGACCGACTCCATTTCCCGGCTCCCATCTCCCGCTTGGTTATTTATTCGTATGTATTTATTTATATTTATGTGGGAGTGGGCCTGCGATAAGGGAAATGCGGATTGCCGAGTACCGAACTTCGTCGGCAGGACCTGCGTATTCAATTGTCTTTGTTCTGTTCCATATATATGTGTATATATGTATATAAATGTACATATAAATCGAAAAATTCTGTTGTTTTTCTGAGAGGAACGACGCGTGTCAATGCGTGACATAAACAACGTTTATGGTCAAAGAGACGACAACAAGGAATACAATTTTAAAGCGAAATAACACACATGTGTCAATATGTTTGCCTCTGAAATTGATTGGAATATAACATTAAACTCAACTACCCCTCCAGTTGTAATAAACAAATCACAAGGCAAGTGGAGGACGGTCGAAATCCAGTCGAGCCTTATTTTGCGGCTGGCATAATTAATGAACCAGTAAAGTTCTGTGTGACTTTCGGTAACTTTCAGTTAGATAAAGTTACTCTGTCAACAGTGGCCGGGGGCTTAGAACTGTCAGTACTGCTTCCCACAAAGACAAGTTCAAGTTCAGTTAAATTAGTCTCACACTTTTAGGGGGTTTTTAATTCTACTTAAATTGATTTATTTAAATATAGCATTACAGGAAATATTTGTTTAAAAAAGAGCTAAATATTTGTATTTGTTACTTGCTTAAACACCTACTCATACTCAGCGAACTGGAGTTGGTTGCATGTTTTGCAGGGGACCTGGTCTTGGGGCACCTTTCAGCCGGACTCCCTACCTGTTTTGGGTAGAACATGTACTGCCACTCCTGGCCCTGCTCGAGGTCGCTTCGCCTGCCAATCTGTTTGCTCTTGCCCACGAACTTGCCAGTGGCTTTGTTTTGCCTTCGAGCCCTCTCGGAGCTTCTGGACCGGCTTTGGCTTGAGCTGGAACTGGAGCTGGAGCTGGGGAACTTGAACTGGACTGGACGCCTGCCCCAATGCCGTTTCGCCGTTTACAACTTCCTGGTCAGGCTTCTGGCCTTGCCTTTTGGCCTGTCGCTGCCTTTTTGTTTGGTTTCTCTCCTTTCGCTCTCGCTTTCGCTCCTTGTGTTGTACACCCATTAATACCGGAGAGTAGGGTATGATGTATTCCTAGAAGGTTTGTCTTGGCACCTGTTAAATACAAAGAGCGACATCAATTGATGCTAAAATTAAGTTCAGCCACATGAGAGTCATCTTGTTTAAAATATTTGTTACACTTCCTTTTCCTAAAATCCTGGGTACCTTTTATTCCAATCCTAAAATTCCTTCATTCTTTTACGTTTTTCTGCTGCTCGGTGCTGGCCCTTATGGTTATCGTCCTTTTCAGGTTGCCTGTTTGTTGTTCTTGGCCGTCAGTTTGTTTTTGGCTGTTGCCAAGCGGAGAGAAGCGTCTGAGGCCCCTGTAATTAGCACAAAAATGAAGCGGGATGGGAGGGACAGGGGACCGGGGAAGGCCAAAGAGCAGGATGCACCCAAAATGTTTGCAACTTGAAGTTCCCGCTGTGAGAATTCCGTAGTTGCTGTTGCAGTTGCATGATTTGCGGGCCCAAAAGTCAAACTCAAGGCACTCGCACAGCGCGCACTCGAAAGTCATAAAGTGCAAAAATTGTTACACTCAGGCAGAAATGAATTATGAAAGTTGTTGCCAACCTCCTCAGATTCTTTGCCTTATTTTGCTTACCCCTCTCCGCTTGCACTTGCACATCCATTTCCACTTCCACTGCCACTTCCCTGTCGGGCTCAGCGAAAGTTAAGTTTTGGCGAAAGTTCTGTTTGCAAGTCGACTGCATATTATTTAATTCAATTTGAATGGGGAACTTAAAAATATTGCCAGCCCGGAGGCAAACCAGCGGGAAGTCGTTGTCTTCTATTTTCATTTACAATTGCCCAGCTGGCCAGTAATATTTTTATTCGATTGAGTTCAGGCCCAACTCTTTCCAAGTCGGAATCAGTTTAAAGTTGTAAGGTTTCAAAGAGAATAGTTTTAGTCTTTTGTAAGCCTGAAATGGTAGATGAAAGTAGTTTGTAAGAAAGGAAATAGGATTATTTCAATGTTATATTATATGATTTCACATAATGTATTTCAAGGCAATAAAGCACTTGAGTAGCTTTTTGCAATTCTATCTAGAATTTAAATTCATTCGATCCACTTTCTGTATTCAAATTTCCATTTTAAAAGCTTCTTCAATGCTGCTTGAAATAACTTGATTTCCTTATTTTCGCAAGTTTTTGTTCGAATGTCTAGCGCTTGGCTAATTGCCCGGAGAGCTAATTAAAATCTGGCTGAAAATTCGGCATAATCGAGACCGCAGCAGCGATGTCACTAACAACAACAACAACAACAACAACAGCAACAGCACCGACCAAAGTAAAATATATTACGCAGTGCGCCTAAAAGCCGACACCGAAAACTTTTCCCTCGCCTGTGCAAATACAAACACACGTGAGAACTTGACAACTTTTCAGTGCGGGGCTGCAGGAACTTTAATTAGAAAGTTTTGTCACACATGCAGGCACCACACCAATGGTCAAGACACTAGATCAGAGATGATGTGACTTAAATTTTGAAACAAACAGTTTTCCTAATAATCAAATCTTAATACGACTTTTTGCTTAATTATTTACAGACTGTCAGTAGTCATATGTCACACTAATATGAATCAACAATATACAGAACACTATTTTCTTAACCTCAACTGTTTGCCTGGATGGCCCCAATGATATGTTGCCAAAATTCGCCCTATACGACCAACCGGAGACTGCGTCGGAATCAAAGTCGCTACTCCGGCTCTGAAACATTGTGAATTTTGAAGAGAGTTTGCGACCACAGAGACAATCTAAACTTTTCAAATCAATTTTAATTACCATAAATATGTTTGCACTTTTCGCTCAGTGCAGACGGCAACGGTTCCAACCTGTACTCGTTCGGTTTGTCAGTCAAAAAACACAAAAAGGTGAGGGCATGTCGCACATTTCGTCAGTTTTGTGGCGCACAGGGAACCGAAGTTCTAGAACTTTCTGTATGTGTATCACTTTGTATCTGGGATTGGGTCCTGGTGTGGATTTTGCCTACGTGAGCTCGGTTTATTCTGCGTTCGGCACTCTGCGTTGGCAATTTATTTCCACTGTCATAGCAACATGCGGGCAATTGGGGCCAAGGCCTAAATTTGCGTCCGGGATCGCGGCACAAATATTCAAACATTTGCTTGAATGACTCAAAAAAGAGTACGCAGCCAATGCGGTGAATTTTTTGGTTGTCTACAAATTTAACTGGTTTTGGGAGAATACAAAAATCAAAGTAGTTTGTGACTTGGCAGTGTTTTATTGTCATTTTTCCTTATGAATTTTGAAAGCATATCATCATTCTGAGCTTAAAAACTATACAGTACAATAAAAACAAGAACAATAAGAAAATGGAAGTAAGCTTATAAGAATTTTCTTCGTCAAATTTAATAAAATACATTTTTGTTACCAGGCTTCTTGCGATAATTTGTTGTGGCAAGGTAATGTAAACACAATTAGCAAGCCAAATTTTAAAATATACTATGGACTAATGCGCAAAGCCGCGATCATTGCTTCTATCCAGCAAAGAAGTTGGTTTACAAAAAGTAAGATTGCTGAAAATGTAAAGAAAGATGAGTTCATTTACTGGCAGAATCACTATGCCTTGGACGATGTAATCGAAGATTCTCAATGTGTAGAGGATTTTTCTAATGGGAGTATAGATATTACAGAAATTTGGGCTAAGGAATCCACAGAAGAAAATTTCAGAGCCTCTACTTTGACCCTCCATCAGGAAAAAATCCACCAAGACAACGAATATTCTAATAAGTTCAGAGAGCATGGCAAGTCCCCTAAACCAAAATCCAGTTTACATAAGGCTTTCCATACCTATGAACCTGAGGTGCTTCCCCATATGGCAATTGTTCTCCCAAGACCCCGACAAGGACGCAGAGTATCGACCGATCTAACTGAGTATAACTTGCCGAAGCAGCAGTACTTTCCCTCCCAGAACGATAATTTGTGTCTTGAACAGGTCAGGTGTAAAAAACAAATGCCAGATCAGTTTCAAAAGTTACTCGATATAATGGAAAGCCTACAAAGCTTTGATTCGGAGTCCCAGTTACCTACAAGCTCTATAAAGCCCAAACACAAGGCCTATGGTATTTTTCCAATTTTGCTATTCGTAATAGTTACCATACTCATTTTTTATTTTATTTGGACTATTTCACTTCCTGGCGAGATCCTTGTAACCTTTTCAGGAATGTATATGCTCCTATTTTCTTATATATATTCCTTAGTCAATTAGTAAAGCCATTATAAACTTATAAACATATGTATCTATGCAAATGTTTTTTTGTAAATAAAGGAGTTTCTTACATGAAGAATTTCTGAAAAATTATATAAGTTCTGCCCTCATCCAGCCCAGTAACGAAAACCCCACTTTACCCCATTACCATCTGTGAGTTTTCCGGAGTTTCCATCTGCTGCACCTGCTGCAAATGCGACCCCGTCGAATCACGTAGCCATGCCGATTCCCAATACTCCGATGAGTTTATAGTTTTCGTTTTCGTTTTCATTATTTAAGCCAGCTCCGAAAGGAACCCAATTCCGGGCCAACTGGCCGCGCCAAATCCCACCGACAATGTTGCGAAATTTCATTAGGATGAGCGCTGTGGGTCCTGGGGGTGGGCTAAGTGGGCAAAGTGGAGGATGTCGGTGGGAAAAAGGTGGAAAATTGGGGGGAGGACTATAAGGGGACCGGTGGCTGCGCTCGCAATTAATAGGCAAAATGTGTTACAATATTTTTGATGACTTCTGTGCGGTCGTTCGTCGGGCTGTTTTATGGCTTGGCTTATGACTCTCAACTTAGCTGGGCCAGTGAGAACGTGCTGAATTTTAATTAGCCGCGCTTTAATGGGCTGCTATAATTTACTTGTGCAGCGGGACCAGGGGCCCAAATAGTTAGAAATGTACAATAAACTTGAGAAAGTCATCCACCGCAAGTTCTAAGGCTTATGGTTACCATCTTCAGACCTCAAACAGCAATCACTCAAGTGTGAGACGGTTTCCTTTGCATTGCCGATTTAAATATTTTACTTTCGAGGGGTATTCCCACGAGAAATTGTCCGGAAAACCGCAGAGGGCAGTCAGAAATCATGAGTTTCTTATAAATGTCGCAACATAATGTCTTTGAACCGAACAGGGAGAGTCGAAAAAACCCCAAGCTGTATTACACGCATGAATCATCAGAATTATCAATCATACTCGAGTGGCAAACACGGATTGGGTGGCCTGGGAGGATGCTGCGGAAAATCCCCGTCCAATGGCGGGCTGGGAACCGATCCGGGACACAGAAGTCGTGTTCACATTAAGTGCTCCTCCATAAGTGGAAATCAACAAATATAATCTAAATAAGTGCTTGTTAAACAAATTTTTTTTTCTGTCTGCTGGAAACAAAGGGGGAAAAGCGAAAAGAAAACTGCTTCGATGTTGACACTGTATGAATTTGTCTTTGCTCGGCTGTCAACTATAATGGATTCTCGAGGAGGTTCTCGGGATGCGGAATGCTGGGGCTTGATATTGAAAGTGAGACCAAACGCAGAAAAACATCAGGACCAAATTGAATCAGAAATGTTAATGTCCGTATCACGTGGAGCAATCAGCGCAACTGACGAGCAATCAGCCGCTGGGAGTGAAATCGAAAAACGAGAGCGAAACCCGACCGAAATAAAGTGCTGAAAAAGCCGAAACGTGCCAGCTGAGCACTTAGGCTTTAAACTTAATGCCCACCGTACAGGCAGCCATGATGATGAGTTGGCAAAATAAAACAGGAAATGACCGGCGGCGGACGGATGGACACGCAGTGGCAAAAATGAACGAATAAGCGGACCGGACGCAGCCAAGTGGCAAAACTTTCATTCGCTTATTTAACACAAATTTTTCGGTTATTTTGCAAAGCGTTTTACGTGTCGGCATCCCTCTGTGTGTGTGTTTAGGAGAGATGGAAAGCCGCTGAGAATTTGTACAAATTTGCATTGTCATTTTGGAACAATTAGCAGCGAAGCCGGCAAGCAGCCGCACAGGCAGCCAATTCACGTCATCCCTGGCGTATGAGCAATGTCGATGATATTCATACTGCACCGCAAATATAATGAAGCTGCTGTTCATTCTCCCCCGCTTGTTGGTGGAGAACGCAGGGTTGAGGGTCACGTCCATTCATTAGCTAGACAAACCGCTTTAATTACAGTTGGGCGACATTTCGAAAATAATATAGCAGAGGTAGAAAATTCTAATATGGAAATTTTGGGATATTTTGAAAATATTCAAACACTTTGTAATTTGAAAATTATATTGAGTTTTAAGTCTTATCCTTGCCGAAATGGGAAATGGGTTAGTTTCAAAGGGATTCTTATAAGATGTCTTCCTAATTTGCTAAATAAATTTATGACATATTGTAATTAAAGCCACGTTTTTAAACGAAATTATAAACACTTTCCATATGTATCTCTATTTTGAAATTAAACCTAATTAATCAGTATTTTCTGTATCCTTTTCTATAAGCTTTTGGATTATTCAATTATTGTTGTCATTATAGTTGCCATTAGTTTCAAGCCCACATTATTAATTCAATGGAAATACTCAAGGTGTAATCAAGGAATAATCAATATTTGCTTTAACTAAATAATTAAACCGATTAATGCTTCGCTAATGGAAGGGTTTAAATGAGAGACGATGACTCGCATGAAGTGTGATTTATCTACTCGGAATAATGGATATTTACGGTCATCAAATGAAATACTTTTGATGTTTTTTGTGGCCACTATCATAAATTATTTCATTGTGGGACATCATTTTGTCTGACCGTCGATCGAAAAAAAAGTAAGGCGGGGATGGGAGAAAGTAGGGGTTAGCATTTTCCCCGGCCTGCAGGAAAAAGTGTTGACCAAACGGTTGCAATTTATACCAGAAATTCGACAATTTATTTTCGCCAAAATTGATTTTCCCCGCCGCGACGGGCAACGGCGGGGTCGAAGGTCGGGGGCACGCGGTTCAATCGCGAATTTGCGATGCCGCACACGTAAAGCGTTCTAACAATTCAATCAGTTAGCGTTGGCAAGAAAAATCGTTAGCTGCAGAAATTGATAATATTTGAATGCAGGACATTGGAAAAATACGAGTGAAAATCGAAAAAATTTCCACTGCAATGCAATGGAATGACCGGCGACGAGCTGATGGTCAGACAGAAATATATCGGAGATAGCTCCGCCTCTTCCGACAAATCAAGCAAATCGCCAAGAGAGGAGGGGGAGGGGGAGGGAGGGGGAAAAGTGCAATGGCACGACTTCGACACAAGTCGAGCTGAAAATTTTTGTTGAAAAAACTCCGGCTGGCGTTTTGCTCCTTTCTTTTTTATCGGTTACCTGGTCGAACAAAGTTTTCCCCGACGGTTGGCAAAGTTTTAAATTTGAATTTGAACATGAATTTCTCATGTAATCAACGCCGGAGCGAAAGAAAATGTAACAACTTGCCCACACGAGCACTTCATTAATGTGAAAATGGTAACGGCAACGGGAAATGGCAAACACGAATGCCGGGGAAATGTGAATGGGAAATGGGAAACGGGAGACGGGAGACGGTATACGGGAGATGGCAAATGGCAGGTGCAGAAGCCACCGAGGGCAGGGAGAATCTCTCCAAGGATTGTTAATAAGCGAAGGTGCACTGGACGCTGGACTTTCGACTTTGGACTCCAGTCTCCGGACCCTGGATGGCACGTGTTGGCCGTGATTTGTGACGGAGCTGCGGACGTTTTGTGGTTCGTTAGGAAGGGCTACGTCCTGCTGGCACTGCAAAGATCAATATGCCACCAAGCGAACCCGGCGTGTTGACTCAAAAAATACTCGCATATGGAAGTTAAATTGCACAGAGCGAACGGTTTTCGAGAGTGTGCTTAATTGGTGCGGATAAGAGGGCTAATAATAACAGAAATAGTAAAGTTTATAATTCTAGTTTTTTATGTACATGTATCCCCGCTTGTAGCCACTAGTCACACCATTAGGCTTCGCTTCAAGTGTTAAATGGGAGTAGCATCCATTACAGTCCCCAGCCTTTGGCTTAACTACAGGACAAAAGGCGCCAATTGCCTGGGACACGGGAGATTCCCTCCGAACAAGGGCTCCAATTGCATCAGAGGCTCAAAAACTATGCAATTGCAGGCATTTTTATTCAAATTAAAACACAAAACAATCCGAAACAAAAACAGTTTTAAGCTTTTTCATCGCTTTGTGTCAGGCCATTTGAAAACGGAAACCTTTGTCATTATGTACCTACAGCAGAAATGTCAAAAGCAAAAACAAAAAACGTAAAAAGAATGCCGAAAAGGATGGTCGATGGTGCTGGTGCTGGTGGGGGTGTTAGAGGGGGAAATGTTTTATATTTTTGCAACAAAACTCACTAATTTTCTTTTATGTGGAGACAGCAGAGACAGCAACAGAAACAGAAATACGAGAGCGCAGCAAAAAAAGGCAGGACAAATGCTAAAAGCGAAAAGGCAAAAATACAGTGTGTGTGTGTGTGTGGGTGTGTACTAGTGTTTGTGGGTGGATGTGGGTGTGTAACTGTGTGTGTAGTCTAGTGGAAAAGAAAAAGATGGCTGCACTGACACAAAATCAGTGAAAACAGAGGCAGCGGCAACAACAACTGGCGCTGCAAGAAAGGCAAACGGGAAACACAAACAAATGTCACTCAACAATTTTTATGAGTCTGACAAAAGTGAATTATACGAATGGACCCAGGACACCGCCGCCTCTTTTTCTAACGCAATTTATCTATGTTAAGCGACAACGGCGACCGGAGTCGGAATCGGACCTAGGAGTCGGAGAGCCGTGCCCCTAAACCCTACTCTCAGTCCGGAATCGTATTTGCAACCAGAGTCCAAAACCAGTGCTGCCACCAACTGAAATGGGCAAGTCGGAAAAAGTTATCAAGGTAATTTGGAAATACACTTAAAATTGAGAGAATTGGGTTTATTTCACAGCTGTGGTTCTTAGTCGAAGGACATTTTTTATGCATTTTTATATAACAATGAGTACAATTATATATTGAAACCTTGATAGCAATTTTTTATAGCTTTTTGAGGTTGATAATTAGTGTTTTAGTAAATTGTTTAGCCAAAGGAATAATAATATATATCTGAGTTTATCTAACAAATAGGAACAACGAATGTTTTACTATTTAACCAATATATTTCCAAATTTTAAGCCTACAAAAAAACAGTAGCTTTAGCTTTAAATCGGTTGAAAAGACAACTCTTTCGTATAGACACGCCTTCGA